CYTTTYYTWWTWAAAAAAAATCTATGTCCACGTTTTATTGTTTGGCACGAGRATACTATGAACTTGTCTCAACACACATCCATTTTAGTGTGATTAATGTAGACAGTGCCTTTTGTCTTTTGATTTTTAATAATCTCATACTAATTATAGGCCTAATTTAGGCTAATAACTAAATGCTGCAATCTCTTAAGTCTAATAAAATTATTGATGCGTTTTTTTGTTTTATGTCTTTCATCAAAGACTACATTTATTGTGTCAAACAATAATGGATTGACAGCTAGGTTCTGACTGACAAGCAGGCTGAACCAATCTCTCAGTTGCATGCTGTTCAGTGACTCCCAGCACCCAATCCTCTCAGATTAGAGGAGGGATTATGATTTGGATTTGCCTCTGCTTTATAGACCGAAGTCCCCAATAACTGATGGACTGGGTCATTATAATGTTTTTAGTTTCCAAATGATCTTTTTAAAAAAAGCATTTTAAAACTGAATGTTTTTATCATATCAAATTCAACAAATACCCTTTTTACTTCTAAATATGAAATAATTTTGAATTGCTTATTTTTGATCCATTACATTTCGGACACAGTTTTGGGGCTCTAGGATTTAGCCTAAATTCTAAGTGCCTATTTTTGTCCTCCATTTCCAGTTGAACCCTGAGGGATACCCACGTTCGAGCAAAGTCTGATTGTAATTTTGTAATTGCCCCTGAGGGATGGCAGTTAATGAAAACCGCTTCTCCAATTCCTTTTGCRGTCTCCTGAGGCACTAGTAAAATGCACCAAGTTGGCTTTTCCTTCAGACCTCAGCAGTCATTAAAGTTCACACATTTTTCAAGAGTTACATCAGCGCTGTCTGTGGTACTGACAGGGTCGTACCGGTCCATATCCTTCTTAATTTGTTCAGTAATGTGGAGAGTGGCTTGTTATGTTTTGATGTAGCCTGGTTGCTTGGATTGATGTTGTGTTCCTGTACTTTGGTACTCTTACAACCCATCATTGAAGTGCCCATCTTCAGACTTTCCACTTTGTCATCCCTTCCTGTTACTTTAAATGCAAATATCTCAACAACTGTTCCTCTCAGTGGCATGGAATTATTTTTTTGGAATATGTTATCAAWAAACATTCATATTTATGGCAAACGATTTGATGTCACAGGCACTTTAATGATGAGAGGGCATCACCAAGTACCACAGCAGAAGTACGTATGTAGTGTTCTTCACTAGAGTAGACAACCTAAATTTCATTCCTTCAATTGTTTCCATGTTTGACTGAAAAAAAAAGAATTTTCTTGAAATTTTTTAAATTAATTGTCACATTTCAAGCACAAAAGTAACAATTATCTGCAATCTGTTTTATTTTTTTGTCTATTATCTATTTTACTATTTGAATTCCCTTTGGCTATGTCTCTCAATATTTTTTTTCCTGTTTTTTTTTTCTAGAATCCATCCCGACCTGCCGTGTAGCCGAAATCACATCACACCTGGCCTGTGTCTTTAGGAGYCCAATTGCCATAAGTAACAAATAATTTCTTCAAAAAGGTTTAAGTATGTCCAATCTTTATGTCCTACACATCTARAGATGGTCAGGTGAAAACTAAGGCCAAATAGTGGCCTMTAATAATTGTAATAMGTYATTCTARTTCCAAAAAGGGGTATGAAAATATTCCTAATACCAGCTTGTTTTCAGCTGTTCTATTTTGCCATATAACAATGCCAATTAACATAAGAGCCAAGCCCTCGCACAGTAAGCTGTCTGCTGTTGCTAAGAGTAGCGGGCACAATGAGGGAAGCACATCTCATTCACGCTTCTCAAGGTCTGCTAAACAAGGGAAAGGCAAACAGGCCGTGAGCTCAACACCAGGATGCCGCTCAGGACTTGAGCCTGGCTGTGTGTCAGGGGGTGTGCCTGCACCAGCGTCTAAGCTGGCTGGAGCTCAAGGGTCAGTGTCGAAGCCCGGTTCAAAACTCAAAGCTGGCACAGCAGCAGATAAAGGCTCAAATCGTGGTTCGGCAACAGCTCCAGGTGGYAAAACCCTGTCCATGGAGAACATCCAGTCTTTAAGCGCTGCTTATGCCACTTCTGGCACTATGTATCCCAGTGAACAAGAGTCCTTGGAACCCACCGGTGGATACCCCAAAGGCAGCTTGACATTAGGCCGGAGTACCAGCCGCTCCTCCTACACCGGCCGCACAACAACCACGGGTAGCAGCCCAAACATCACATCCTCCGCGACTCATCACCCGTTGGACACTTGCGGAAACCAYGCCGTAATTACTGGAGGGACGTCAAGTTTGCGACGACAATCTGGAAGGTGCGCACAGACGTCAGAGTTGGCCAGGCAGGCAGAGGTTTCCACCTACGACCTCCAGGCTCAGCTCAGGGACTTGCAGCGGGAGAACGACAGCCTCCGGAGAGAACTGGAAGGAGGGAGGGAYAGAAAGACRAGTCATGGAATGAACAGCGTTGATTTCTGGAACCCGGACGTAAAGAGGGATAAGGGGAGCCGACGAGAAGATGGCGTGAGACCCTTGGTTGTGAAAGACCAGTACAGGCTGAACCAAGAAGACACACAGGTGAGACACCTGTCAGACACTCTCAGTATGACTTTAGCTGTTTCAAACTGTGTAAGTTATACTGTGAAAAACACCCGTAAGCCATCTCCTCTGATCATCATACCTCTCTCTCTCTCGTCATACAGTTTGTGCTCATCTTCAAGGTTACATTGAAAGTTTATGTGCAGTTCAGTTGTGACAGTGTTTACCAGGCTCACCATCTTTCCATGGCAACACGCTAATGACATCCACCGAGGTGTTTGGCACCTTTTAAATAAACTCACAGCTTCTCCCGAAGGAACGGTGACCAGCCTGTCTTGTGCCATCGCTCCATGGAATCTGTCCCACTCAGTCTGAGGTGTTATCCATCTGTGTGCCTCACCCACTGCCTGATGTCTGTAGTTTTTGCCCTTTGCTTATTTTTCCCTTTTTTTTATCCTGTTAGCCTTCTGTTTCTCTGTTTTTACAGAGCGTTGTTCTTCCCAGCGTGTTTGTGTCTCTCTAATGGAAATGAATTGAAACCTACTTTAAAGGAACTGAATATCTGGAAATATTTCAGAAAATTAAGAACACTGCTCAGAAACTTGCGTTGCTGTTTCACAACAGCTCACACAACTTTAATCATTTCTACTTTCTCCTGTTGTAACCAAGCAGCCTCCTCTGCGTTTGTATTTATAGATTTTCTTTTTTTTTCACTTCACATCGTCACTAAGTGTGAGGACACTGTGACACGTGCGTGACACATTAGTATACACAAATTCTTCTTTTTAAAATGAAAAAAATAAAAAATAAAAAAACATGAGTTTGAAAGAACAAAAGAAGTTTAATTAGAAACTAAAGAAATGCTTTCTTTATCACTAACAAGAAGTACACCTTTACAGAAATATTACAAAATCCTTAATCTATAAGTTTTCTCTTTGCTTGTTTGTCCTTGGGTCATTTCCTTGCATTTTATTTCACACAATCTGTTAGGTTTCTTGTATATTTAACTATTTCACAAATACATGTACATGTTCAGCTCCAGTAGTTTGCAGTATTGATTAGCAACTCATTAAACTCCTACCACATATTTTCCTCAACGTTAATCATTACTATATCACACAATGTATACATTGCAGTCTCAAAAAGAAAAATCCAGAGTGGTCACCTCTACTAACTTGCTATCTTGCACACAATGTCATTTTTTATGTTTTCCTTTTTTCCATCACTATAAGAACAAGTTCAGCCTGACAGGAGAACTTGTTCATTAGCATAAGGAATGTCACCTTCTCTCTCAGCTGCAGACATCGGAGTGTCCCCTCCCCCCCGACCATCTGCTTGTTTGGTGTGTTTGTGGGTTTTGCCTATTGTGATAATGTGTGTGTGTTCATGTTACGTGTCTGAGTTGTACATGTGTCAGAGTGGAGGATTGTCCTCCCACTCTAACTTAATATTCAGTGCTGGATGTTGCATCGATTATCTGTGTGCTCCCTCGCCTCTGTCCTACATTTCAACTCGGTGTCCTTGGAACTCCACACCCTCCGGACATGAACAGAGAAATCATTTTATCTGAAAAAAAAAAATAATAATAAAATAATGTCTTCACAGAAGTGAAACAAAACAAACTTAGCTTTAGTTTATTTATTTATTTTTTGACATGGCCTTTAAGGTAAATGCAAATGTGTTTCAGTTCCCCCTTTCCCATCCTTTTTTTATGTTGTCATCGAGATACACTGTGTTCATTCACATTGGGCTTATGCAGTTGAACTTTTTATATATGGACCAAATGAAATCATGCTTAATATATGGCTAACCTAAAAACAATTAGGCTTTTCCTGTAACTTTGCTAACATTTCTGTATTTTTGTTTCATTGTAAAATAAGGATTTTTCAATCAGTAGACTTTAACATAAAAACCCATCAGCTTAGTCACTTCTCAGTGTCAGTTTGAACTACTTGTTCATTAAACAACTTTAATTAATATTTATTTATTATGTATTAAAGTTTTGATGCAGCACACTGAATGTTTTGTGTATGTGGACAACACAAACCAGTCGTTGTGATATTGTGTTTTATTCTATTTAACTTCACAGAACTTTCTCATCATTTGAATTTGCATCAGATGCATTAGATTTTACGTTGAACATATCATTTATGGTTTTATTGGCAGCATGTTGTTTCTTAAGAAATACTAGGTTCATTGTTTACATTCGTTTCATGCTTGTTTGTCTCCCTGAAAAAAAAAAGAAAATTAAGTGAATTCCACACATTTGTCTGTGTTGCTTTCCAGCATCTTTTGTCTTATATCTGTTGATGCCCTTGTTTCTCCTTTCAAACTCCTTTTAATTCTGTTAGGAGATAAATGAAAGCTAAAGTCAATGGCTRAACCAACTCTGACAGTAAAGGGGAGGGAGAAACTGCATCAGGTGGGAGCATCGATTTGATTTATTGCTACCTTGAGGCTGTGGAGTCACAAACGTAGGAAGCTGTATAAATCAATGTAATGATTTTATAAGTTGCCTTTGTTTTCTAACTGTGTGAGTCAGTTCTTAGTAGTAAAACTATTACCAGTATATTTTGCCTTAAGCAGAGAGCCTCAGTTGTGCTCATRTGCTGTTAGCTTTGTTCAAACCCCAATAAGAGGAAAGATGAAAACCATGATTATAAACACATTTTTAAAAAGTCCACAACAGAATAAAAGTTATGAAGACAAAAAACAAAGGAATTGACAAAATTTTTGACTTATTTGAAAAAAAAAGAGCAAAAGAACAAATTTAATGATTAGAACCCCTTCTAAAAAACTCAAAAGACTGATCAGGTTTTAAACAAGTGATTCTTTGTTCCATTCTRCAAATTTTATGGAAAAGTTGCAACAAGCTAGTCAGAAAAATAATAATAATAGGCATTTTAGTATTTTATAAATATTCATTTAACTTTTAATGTATGCAAATGCTGAAACTGGAAACAATTCATTACATGAACTATATCTCAATTTGTGCTGCCTAAAGTTCTTCCCGCTGTATACAAACCCATTTTTCKTTCCCTTACATCACCTTCAATGTCCTCCCGTTGTTTTCCAAGAGATTTCAGCCCTCTTCTGGCCAAACTGTGTAACCATCATCCAACAGCTTCACAAATTCACACCATGGTTTGAGACTCAGAGGCTTTACATTTGTCTGTTTCCTTCATCACATCTTTCTGCTGCAGTCAGAAGACATCAGAAGAAACAAGGTCTGTTTTTATGTCATACCACAAATATTTTGCACATACTTGGAAATTGATTTTCACCTGTGTTCAGTTTTGGCACAAGTGAACRTTTCGTTTGATGACTGAATAAAATTTTATTGTCGTTATAGCAACTTCCATTAACAGTTCAGGAGCTACAGGAAGAGCTTAAAGCTCACAGAGAGATGAACAGTCGCCTGCGTCAACAGCGGCACCAGGGGAACTCCTATCGAGAACACCATGTGGATCAGGAGTTCAGAGGAGGACTGAGCCCTGAACACAGCCCCAGGTACAGTCTCATAAACCTGCACAGTCCTGCACCAAAGAACAGCCCCAAAGCTAGCCCGTCCAACACCTACAACCCAAGGCATCAAGAAGCTGACATCATCATCCACAGCCCTGGGTACGGCTGTAACTCTGCAGTAGCCACGCAGAGACTGAGCCCAGCCAGCACCCTCCAGCCCGGTCAGAGGAACAGTCCAAACCAGCCGCTCCACAGTCCCAGTCAAAGTCCAGCAGTGGGGCCCGGTTCTGGCTCCCTTCGGCCCTGCAGCCCCTGTCAGGTGCCCGGGTGTGATGGCTTTTCCTCCCCTCCTCCCTTGGATCCATCAGAGGAGAACTTCTTCAGGCTGCAGTCGGCCCACGAGCGGCAAGCCAAGGAGCTCTCCCAGCTGAGGAAGACCATGGAGGACATGGAGATTCGAATCGACTCTCAGAAGCAGACTCTGGGGGCTCGGGACGAGAGCATCCAGAGGCTGCTGGAGATGCTTCAGGGTCAAGGTCAGGGACAGTGGGGCCGGGGACAGCGAACGGGGATAATAACCATGGCAGCACAGGAGGCCGAAACGCAGCTGGAGAACTTGCATTTGAAAGAGGTGTGTATTTCTTCTTGTTTTTATTGTTTTATTTAACTAAATTATACTTTTTATGATTATTAAAATAAATCCAGACAACTTCTTATTTAGAAATTAATACTAGCATACAGAAATGTAAGTTAAACAATACAGCTTGTGATTTCAATAGAGTATTATCGGTTTGTAAATTAGACGCAATTATTTTTCCCCATTTGCTTCTGTTATGTTATTCTTTGATAAGATTATGAGTGCAAACATTTGGCTGTGCATGTCTTTGTGTGCACCTGTTTTCTGTCTGTATTATGTAGAGAGCTGGAGTAGAAAGCAGCTCAGCAGGCCTTATCAATGAGCCAGATTAACATACTGAGAGCTAACACTAAGCTCGTGTTCAGCAATGCAGTTGTACAATCTCACTCTGATGGTGTGTGTGTGTGTGTGTGTTCCACGTGCTCACATAGCTGTTGATCCTTTGCCACTTGGCCGTTTGCATTCTGCATCTTACTACATGTGGCATGTTCAGCAGTGAAATGAGATGGATATGAAAAAATCCGGGATCGTGTTGCAACCTATCAAAAAAGCGATGATACACGGTAGGCTCKATTTATTTAATGTTGTTTTTAAGCTGTTTTTGTCCGAGGCTATTTGTGCAGAGGGTGGTGCCACAGCCCCAGGTGCATCCTCTGCTGTGAGGGCAGGCTGCTCTGTAGCTCCCCACTCCTGCCTTATCTATTTTTAACTTCTAAATCTTCTTAGCCTTTAATTTCCCTACCTCTATATTTGTGTGTGCGTTCCCTGATATCGTTCATGTCATAATGTCCCTGCGAGCGTCTCCCTCTCTGGGTTAGCTCAAAAGAAGTATCTGTTCGTGAGCATGCGCCCGCATCTTCGGYTTAGCGTTTCACATGAGAAAACTCCCTTTCAGGAATTGCCACCGGCTGATGGGATATCCACCCATGCAGGGYGTTTGGTCACCAAAGTGCTTCTGTCAAAGGGAAATTGGTTTGCTTTAGCTCGTGCTAATGTAGGCATGAGTGTCTGTGTGTCATGCGTGGGGACAAAACTRTGTGTAAGAGGTGAGTACCTGTTCACGCATGCTATTTTTAATCATTTGACAGCTTAACACGAGCTCGCGGGCTTTGGAGGAGGGGCAGGAGGTGTGAGAGGTCTGTCTGAGGGAGAGGGAGAAATGAGAGAGGGGTTCTATTTTCCTAAAAAAAAAAAAAAGAAAAAAGAAAAACAAGCCGTGTTTATCTGAATATTAATGTATGATTAATGAGTAAAAACCCTCTGACCTCCCTGATTGAAAAGAGAGGGGAATGTTGTTCTTTCACCCCCCCCTCCACCTTTTTTTCTAGTTTCCCTCTGGTCTCTCCTGTGAGGTGGGTGATGGCATCTTTTACAGATGTATGTAAAAGAGAACATTTAAATTATACACATTTTAGCTATGTCTGACACTTTGGAATTCMGATTTTAGAAATGAAAACATTTACTTCTTTCAAAACCTCAAAGTGGTTCGTGAGCATTTCAGACATTTGYGGTCGATATCGAATCCTTTAAAAGGCTGGTTTGTTTGAAGAATTTCTATGCTCTACGACCCTAACTCTGGTGTAGGCCTCTTCCTTTTGTTTATGTGTTACACTTGCACGTCATGGTGAATGCAAGGCCGAAATAGTTTTGTGCAGCAATTGCCTCTGTTAGGGGGGGTACTTCATTTAGTTTTCAGATTAGTTCCAATGAAAACCAGCCTGACTGCTTTTCATTACTGCATCCTTTGCTGTCTTTTAAATGAGCCAGCTTGTTTTCATAAATACGTCTGTTTTCAGTTTCCCATGTCTTGCATTTGTTCTATAACATGGGTGAAAGTTGACATGAAGTCTGGGTGCTAATCCTAAATATGTGTTTAGGTCATTTTTTGATGTAAGCACAGCTTAAGATATGAGATGTGTGAAAATCCACAGATTTTTCTGTCTTTACCCCCTCTGTTGTGGCCTTCAGGTTTAACAGATGAACAGATGTGAACTCACTAGAAGCTGCTGCTTGTRTTTATGTACGGTCTGTGGATGTGCAGAATGTATGATTGCAGAGCCCACTCCATCACTTCTTCACCTGCTGATGTGTTTTGTCAGGGGATGAGGGTGTCCAGTGGTGCATTCTTGCTTGTGTCCAGCTTTGTCGGTTGTTAGCTTTTCGTTGGTGCATAGATCTACAGAGCAACATCAGTGCATCCTCGTCAGCCTTTTGCTGTTCGAATGGGTACGCTTGAATAATCAGCATCAGGTAAAAAAGGAATAGTGTGGAAACCACACAAGAGTGTGTATATATGCATACATTCTCAACTTTAYTGTTTACTTGGAACACAAGTGTTTGCAGTACCAAAAGTGACCACAAAGCGGTGTTGTTCTGTTAGAGTTTGGCAGCTGAGGCAATCCTGCATGGTGAACCTAACTTATGTGATTGGACACACAAACACACACATACCTGCTGTGAGGCATAAATCTGGGCCTAATTGACTCTCCCCAGCCACCAGGTCCCTGTAGACCCAATAATAACAGCTGCGCACCACTGGACTGTTCCTGCCCAGCCCTGACCAAGGGCCTAAACACACACATGCACACATCAGAACACACACACTTTCATACAATAAGATGTCTATGTTAGTAGCATTTATATATTCTTGTATTTAATACMAGCAATGTTGTCATATGGTCTGTAGGGTTCCAAAAAGAGTTAGGATCAGTAATGCTATATTATTTTGATGTTAACGTAAGAATGAGTACTTCTGGGCTTCCTGGCTTTAGACCACCTCCTGGTTGTTTTGGCAGCCTCCTCACTATCTGCTCTTTCTTTTAAACATTGATAAAACTTCAGAAATGTAGYTTTGTTTTTATAAATATATAACTTTTTACTGCAAGATAGTTGAAAATGAAATTTCATATCAAGCAATACTTTTTCCTCCGCTCATGTTCCTGTAGATTATATATTTTCTTTTATGATTAACTACTTTTAGTCTTAATTGAAGAAGCTCCTCTTGGGTACCTTTTACAAACTATTTAAAGAACGTTTTGATCCTCCAAAATGTTTGTACGTTAAAGTTTATCAAAACATCACACGCCTCCAATCTCTCCATGTCTGTTGGTTCTCTGGAAGGCTTTGATTTGCTTTGGTTTTCCATTTGTCTTGTTAATTACTTGTTATAGCCTCTGAGCTGTTTGTGCATTTTCACGTGTCTGTGTGTGTATCTCGGACCTGTTTCCTTTTTTCTAATTGCGAGTGCGTTCATCCTTTTCTCGAGCTCGTCAGGTCACCGGGTGCAAGTTTGTCTCGTTACACTGCTCCTTTCTGGTTTTCTTTTGCTTGTTTCTTAGAGGCATGGGGATAATCTTCACGTATTCATGGCTCCTTTCGCCTCTCTTCAATTTGCTTTATTCAAGCTTGTTTTACACTTCTCATTTGTTTCACTTTTACAGTTTATTTTAGTTATAAAATTATTGATTTTAACAAGTAATGTGCAATCCTTGAATTTTACACAAGTTGGCTATTTTTTGTTTCTCTTCCTAATCTACTACCAAACCCAGGGTATGTAACACTGCTGAGTCTTGTTTGTGTATGGTGCACACAATACCACAGCCTCGAGRCTGGAAGTGAACCTTTTGATCGTATCCTTCAGCCAGAATGGCTGGACCTATTGCTTTAGAGTTATATTTGACCCTATTCATTCCATATGCTCAGTCCTGACACATGTGGAGCAGAGAAGACAGTCTTTGATGACGTGCTCTCTTGCATGACTTAATTTCCCCCTGCTGAGAGACACAACAGTTTTAAGAATTGCTGCTGTTGATAAAGAGTTCATAAACAGACTTTTTCAAAGGGACAGAAAAAAAAGGAGCATCAGCGCAGGCCACAAAAGGACAAACAGGCACGAGGTGGTCAAACCCCACTCACAGTGGCACATTGATACACATTTGGTCAGGAGAAGATTAGTTCTGTTGCAGTAATGGGAATGCCAATCTGTAGGAGGCATTCCCATTACTGCATTCTGACAGCAGTAATCCTTCCTTATCCACAGCTGACATGAACAAGAGGATAATGTCCCTGTCTCCTCTCATTTCAAATGAGTTGCACAGTCAAAAAAAAAAAGAAGTGAAAAACCACATAATGTTTTTGACCCTCTTGTAGGTTTGTACAGGATTTTTATGCTATTTAGTTTGTTGAACTTTGTTAGTTTCAGGAATGTCAGCATTTATTTTCATTTTCGGCTTTCCTGAGATTCTTTTTAATTTGATTTTGCATGTGTGTTTTATTTTCAGCTCTTTTCTGAACAAAGCTCTCTCTCTTTTTTTTTTTTCTTGGAGCTGTAACAAACACTCTTCACTTTGCCCTCCCACTGTGAAATGGGGTTGCTTTTGTATCATCTGTAAAAAAAAAATCTTCGTGTGGATGTTCCATTACCTGTTGCTTTTAATGTTTTTATTTAGTTTTGAGACTTTGGTTTTTAGTAAAGACAAACCGATTGGAAAAAAACAATTCTCTGCAGGACTGAGGTCCCGAGGTGCCGCACTGGAGCTGTGGTTGTTCTGGGTGGTGCCTGGCTGTGAATATTTTTGACTGCGTTGGTGTACACATAACCCTATTTAAAAGAACCTTGCTCTTATTCTCCTGGTAGATTGGCATTTGAATACATTCCGAAATGAACACATCTTTGTACTTTTTGTTTCGCCACATTATCTACAATCTTTAACTTATACCTTCAGAGAAATGTAAGAATTGTTACAGCAGCAGATATTCACAGTTCACGACACATGAATAGTGGAATTCTGGTGACACAGTCTGAAGTCCAACCTCTACATTGATGATTAATTAGATAAAAACAGAAAAGCAATGGGCCATTTTACAAAAAAGAAAAAAAAACTTTCTACGTGCCAGAATCGGTTGTGTGTTTTGTGTGTGTGTGTGTGTTTGCATTTGGCTTGATTGTGCTCTTTCTTTTGTGTAGGCATTGCTGTGGGTCAGAGCTACCATTAATTATTTAATAGAAAAAGCTTAGCGCATGTGCCGGCGTTGCTAAGGAGAAGCTTTGGCATGCCAGAGACATCTGTAAGAGAGACAGTGAAAAGAAGTGGGAGATAAGAAATCGAAAGATTCTAGCTGGAAGAGTGATCGAGGCAGACTGGCACAAGCTAAAGCTGAATGTGTCTTGTTACCTGCTTGTGAACGGAGACAAAATAATAGAAAGCAGAGAAAAGAGACGCGAGTGCCTGTTTTTAGAAAAGAAAAAGAAAACCCTATTTAGGACAGGACATTTTATTCATTGTTTCTCGATATACAGTTGTGGATTGCATTAGAGTTCTTTTAGGAAACTTAAAAACAATGGAGTGAAAAAAGAGAAGCCAGGGAGATTTATTCAGCTGTGGGTGTTAGAAAGCACTAAAGATGATGAGCCGCCAGGCTTATTTTTACCGGGTCCCTCCTCCGGAGCTCCATCGCCGAAACCAGCTCCAGACTGAACCAGCTAAGACCAGAGCTCTGCAAACAGTCATTGATATGAAGGTAGGACTAAGAATGGATTTCAGATGGTTAATATTTTACAAGTCTTTCTACTGTAGGTCTGGTTATCACTGCACTTCAGATTACAGTGTGCTGTTCTGTTAATATTTTTTCAGCAGTATCAAGTGTTTCTCCTGTTGCTTTCTGTCTGCTTTAATTTAGCTCCAGCTTCACCGTGCAGGCTGTTATTTATTGAGAAGCACAGCTGTCACTTTAACAGCAGCAGGAAGTTCAACGCAAAACGAATGTACACGCATAAGCAACTGAACGAACATTGTCTTTCTGTGACGTACCATCTGCATGCCAGTCACGCCCCAAGTAAAGTCCATTATTGGCCCGTGCAGAGTTGAGCACTTATTCAATTTGTTGTAAATGTCACATATGGAAGCTTTCACTCTCATCTCAACCCTTTGAAGCCGTTACTGCTGTGAAAAATGCAGTTGACTCCACACGTGTCTGCGTGTAATCCCCCCCACCACCATTCGCCCCTACACACACACATGTGTACATTCAGCGAGTGCTTGTTCTACAAGTGGCATCTTTACAGCAAAACCAAAGTTGTTTTTTGCATATATTTTGCGATTTCCCTATAACAAACTGCACATCTCAAGTAAATATGCCCTACAGTGTTAAAAGGATAAAAGTGGCCTAACATCTGGCTGAATTAATTAGTTATTTAAAAAAATAAATAAACAAACAGATCAGAACTATGTGATGGATTTAACATTTCTTAKGGGAGGAGTAAAACAGAAACAGAAACATGATTTGGCCCTGCACAGTTTACAATAACCCCCTGTGTTTTTATTGCTCAATGTCGATGAGAACATTCTTTGTATTCATTGCGTTTTGTGCATGAAGTATCTGATGTTTTTCTCAGCTTGTGTCGCTGCATTTTGTAAGGGGTGCAAACTTCTGCTTTCTTTTTGCAGAACACGACCCCCACGTTCTGTTTTGACCCTGATGTTATCTGGCAGGTACTGTACTGAGTGCTCATGTCTTGATCTTTCTGTTAACTCATCATARGCTACTGTTTTGACTTATTAGTTTTACATTCTTTGTTTCATCTGGGTTGGAGCACAACTATGGCATGAACAGTGCATTGCGCTTTTGTGGATTGGAGGTTTTTCTTTTATTATGCCCCCCCCCCCCCCATGTTAATTTAGATAATTATTTGTTTGTTTGTTGGTCCTTTTTGCTCTCCTCCAGGTGGCAATGATTTGTTGAAAACATGACTTAGTTTGCAAAAATTCTTTGGGATAGCCTTTAAAAATCTGCATCTCAGACAGCCATCTCTCTCTCTCGGTGTGTGTGTGTGTGTGTGTGTGTGTGTGTGTGTGTGTGTGTGTGTGTGTGTGTGTGTGTG